AAATTATATTCCCTTGTCCTTTCTCTCTCCCTCCCTCCCTCATTCTATCCCATTGTCTCTCTCTCTGTCCCTCTCCCTCATTCTATCCCTTGTCTCTCTCTCTCTACCTCCCTCCCTCATTCTATCCCCTTGTCCTCGCTCTCTGCCTCCTCATTCTATCCCTTGTCTCTGTCTCTGCTCCCTCCCTCATTCTATCCCCTTGTCTCTCTCTCTCTTCACCTCCCTCATCTCCTCCATCCCTTGTCTCTCTCTCTGCCTCCCTACCTCTCATTATTCCCTTGTCTCTCTCTCTAACCCCTCCCTCATTACACCTTGCTCTCTCTCTACGCCCTCCTCATTGTATTCCCCTTGTCTCTCTCTCTCTACCTCTCTCCCTCATTCCATTCCCTTGTCTCTCTCTAACATCCCTCCCAAATTATATTCCCCTTGTCCTCCTCTCTACCTCCCTCCCTCATTTATCCCTTGTCTCTTCTCTACCACCCTCCCTCATTCTATCCCCTTGTCTCTCTCTCTCTGCTCCTCACATCCCTCCCTCCCCATTCTATCCCTTGTCTCTCTCTCTCTCTCTCCCTCCCTCATTTTCTATCCCCTTGTCCTTCTCTTCTCTACCTCTCTCCCTCATTCTATCCCTTGTCGTTCTCTACTCCCTCCCCATTTCTATCCCTTGTCTCTCTCTACTCCTCTCTAACCTCCCTCCCTCATTCTATCCCCTTATTTTCCTGCTCTCTCCTCCCTCCCTCATTATATCCCTTTCTCTCTCTTACCTCCCTCCTCATTTCTATCCCCTTGTCTCTCTCTACCTCCCTTCCTAATTCTATCCCATTGTCTCTCTCTCTACCTCCCCTCCCTCATTTCTATCCCATTGTCTCTCTCTACCTCACCTCCCTCATTCTATCCACTTGTCTCTCTTCTGTCTCCCTCCCTCATTTTATCCCCTTTTTCTCTATCTCTACCTCCCTCCCTCATTCCATCCCATTTCTTTCTCTCTCTCTACCTCACACATTCTATCCCCTTGTCTCTCTCTCTGCTCCCTCCTTCATTCTATCCCCTTGTTTCTCTCTCTACCTCCATCCCTCATTCTATCCCCTTGTCTCTCTCTCTACTTCCCTCCCTTTTTTCTATCCCCTTGTCTCTCTCTACCTCCCTCCCTTATTCTATCCCCTTGTCTCTCTCTGACTCCCTCCCTCATTCTATCCCCTTGTCTCTCTCTACCTCCCTCCCTCATTCTATCCCCTTATTTTGCTCTCTGCCTCCCTCCCTCATTATATCCCTTTCTCTCTCTCTACCTCCCTCACTCATTTCTATCCCCTTGTCTCTATCTCTACCTCCCTCCCTCGTTCTTTCCCTTTGTCTCTCTCTCTCCCTACCTCATTCTATCCCCTTGTCTCTCTCTCTCACTCTCTCTCTGTCTCCCACCCTCATTCTATCCCAATTTTGCTCTCTCTGCCTCCCTCCCTCATTTTATCCCCTTGTCCGTCTCTCTACCTCCCTCTCTCATTATATCCTCTTGACTTTCTCTCTGTCTCCCTCCCTCATTCTATCCCATTGTCTCCCTCTCTGTCCCTCTCCCTCATTCTATCTCCTTGATCTCTCTCTCTCTACCTCCCTCCCTCATTCTATCCCCTTGTCTCGCTCTCTGCCTCCCTCATTCTATCCCCTTGTCTCTGTCTCTGTCTCTGTCTCCCTCCCTCATTCTATCCCATTGTCTCTCTCCCTAACTCCCTCCTTCATTATATCCCCTTGTCTCTCTCTCTGCCTCCCTCCCTCATTCCATTTCCTTGTCTCTCTCTCTACCTCCCTCCCTCATTCTATCCCCTTGTCTCTCTCTCTGCCTCCCTCCCTCATTCTATCCCCCTGTCTCTCTCTCTGCCTCCCTCCCTCATTCCATGTCTTTGTCTCTCTCTCTACCTCCCTCCCTCAATCTATCCCTTTGTTTCTCTCTCTACCTCCCTCCCTCATTCTATTCCCTTGTCTCTCTCTCTACCTCCCTCCCTCATTCTATTCCCTTGTCTCTCTCTCTGTCTCCTCTCTACCTCCCTCCCCCATTCCTTGCTCTGTCTCTCTCTCTACCTCCCTCCCTCATTCTATCCCGGTGTCTCTCTCTCTCTGCCTCCCTCCCTTTTTGTTTTTCTTTCTCCCTCTCTTTTCTCTTCTTTGCGCTGTCTTTCTCTCTCCTTTCTTCCTCACTCCTCCCTTGCTCGGTCTCTCTCTCCCTCTCTCTTTTTCAAAAGGACAAATGTTTCTGGCAGTCACAGTGGCATTGCTTTGGTATTCCAAAATTTAGCCAAAAACCAGGCTGTATCTGCTCTCAGCAACTACACACAGCAGCCAAGCCATCTAACACAGAGAAGAGAGGGGGTGAAAGGAAGAAACAGAAGGGATGGAGATATAGAAAAACTGATAGAGGTGGAGGGAGAGAGGGAGAGGGAACTGTCGTACCAGTGCCCAGACCAGACCAGCAGTGGTTGCATTTGTAATTCCGTAGGTCTTGGCAAACAGCAATAACAGAGCCCTCCTCCAGCAAGAGACAAAAAGGGCAAGTGTGTGTGTGTGTGTGTGTGTGTGTGTGTGTGTGTGTGTGTGTGTGTGTGTGTGTGTGTGTGTGTGTATGTGCGTACATGTGTAAGAGTTGGTCAATTCCACACACACTAAGACTGCGTCAAACACATTTTGAAAACATGTACATCATAACAACTTTGATCTTAATGACAGCCTAAATGCTGACTTTCATATACTTTAGATGTACATAACTGCCCACTTCAGCGACCGCACAGACTATGTGTATTTTTTATGCAGTAGCCACATCTTCAGGCCTTGAAACATCAAATACATCACCTCTGGTGAAGCTCAGCTCTGAACACCAGTTTTTCGGGGGTGTATATTACAGCCAGATCATTCAAGATTGACTTCGAAATTGGACGTCTGTCCATGTCCTGAGGGCGTTCGGAAATGCTTTCAAAACCGCCGACTAGGGGCAACAGAGAACACAATTACCATCAAGTAGGCTTGGGTTTTTCTAGGGCGCTGTGGACTGGGGTGGTGGATGGATGTCATCCCATGACTCCGGATCCAAAGGTTGTGTGTTCAATCCCAGTGGTTGATACATTTTTATTTTATTTTTACCCTATCCCAAACCTTAACCCTTAACTTAACCATTTGGAATTAATCCCTAACCGTAATGTTTTAACCCTATCCAAAACCTTAACCTTCAACTTCTAAATTTAACATTCGGAGCAACTTTGAAATTTGATGTTTGAAGAAATGAAATTAAGCTAAGCAGGAGGAGCAACCCAGGGTGTCAAAAACACTTTGAAATGTGATGTTTTGAGAAAAGTGGATAAACATCAGAATTTGAAGTCATATTGGTCAAACCGTGAGATCTTGTTGGTAAGTTAAGAGTGCACACATACTGACTCTAAATAGTTGACCTGATCTCCCAAATTACAGGGCATTTCATCATACAGTGCATTAGAGGATCTCTGAGCCCCATTGATTATAAATGAACACCAGAAGCATATTAGCTATCTGAATATAATAATAGCCTACTGTCAAGAATAGTAGGACAATTCAGGCTAGTTTGAAGAGAAATAACTACATATAAACACTTCTGTTTGGAAATGCAAATGAACAAAGGCAAGCAAGCAAATGCCAGCGACACAGGCGGATGCATAAAGGATGAGAAACAGAGAGAGAGGCGGAGATACAGAAAGGGTGCAGGGAGAGAGGGAGATAAGTGTTGAGAGAGAGAGAGAGTGAGAGAGAGAAAGACAGGGGTGGGGGTGAGAGAGACGGAGAGCAGAGATAGCCTGAAGAAGGAGAAGAGATATTAGCTGCGCAGAGGAAACGCTGCAGGATGAACAGAGAGAGACAGAACGGAGAGAAGAGAAACAGAGAGACAAAGAGAACAGAGGAGAGGCAAAACACAGATAGATCAGGTGATGAGATGTGTCAGAGACAGGAGTGGGAGGCAGAGATTTACAGTCAACAGACTTTGACATAAGCTGGCAGGAGAGGAACAGATTCCAAAAGCAAATGCCGGCGAGGGCAGAGAGAAACAGAGGGGGATAAATTACATTTGGGGGATGGAGGAGAGAGAGAAGAGATGGAGAGATTGGACAAGAGAGAGGGGGAAAAGGAAGGGGGAAGTGTAGGCTTCTAGCTTAGTTTCTCACATCCTGCAATGTTAATGCATAACTTTACTTATATCAGATATAGGCCATACATGAGCATGTGGGTCTGGGCAAGTGTGATGTAGTTGATGTTTGTTGTCGTTTGTATGTGTATGATTTGTATTACAAATAAAAGATATAGGCCATACATGCATCGAAATAGTCTCTAACAAAACACTTCTTGTCTCAAACCTCACAAACACCCCTGTCTCCTTTTGCAGTTTAACAATTAAAAGTGGGGAACTTTGCCAGAGAAAAGGCAGCAACAGCCTGTATCATGCATCTCCACCATGTTTCCATAGCATCACCCTCCATACAACAATAGGATGAGAAACATCACTTCCATCTGTTTCAGTTCATTTATCACACTCTGTGCCGAGAGAACAATGGCCTACATTCCCCAATACATTTTCTCACAATGTAGACATCACACATGGGCCTGCTCCCAAAGTGTGAGTCACTAGCTTCCACTATCCGGGAAACTTCGAAAGGTCAAAGACAAGATTGCATTAGAATAATACATAAACATTAGCATTGGGGGCTGGCTGCCTTTGCTCTGCTTTGAAGATGATGACAGTGCACTATGTTAGCGAGTCAGCTAACTCGTCTTTTACCTACAATACAGTATACTAAGGACTTAGCGCTTTTACCTACAGTACAGTATGCTAAGGACTTAGCGCTTTTGCCTACAGTACAGTATGCTAAGGACTTAGCACTTTTACCTACAGTACAGTATGCTAAGGACTTAGCGCTTTTATCTACAGTACAGTATGCTAGGGACTTAGCGCTTTAACCTACAGTACAGTATGCTAAGGACTTAGCACTTTTACCTACAGTACAATATGCTAGGGACATAGCGCTTTTAGCTACAGTACAGTAGGCTAAGGACTTAGCACTTTTATCTACAGTACAGAATGCTAAGGACTTAGCGTTTTAACCTACACTACAGTATGCTAAGGACTTAACATTTTTAAATACAGTACAGTATGCTAAGGACATAGCGCTTTTATCTACAGTACAGTATGGGAAGGACTTAGTGCTTTTATCTACAGTACAGTATGCTAAGGACTTAGCGCTTTAACCTACAGTACAGTATGCTAAGGACTTAGCACTTTTACCTACAGTACAGTATGATATGGACATAGCACTTTTGCCTACAGTACAGTATGCTAAGGACTTAGCGCTTTAACCTACAGTACAGTATGCTAAGGACTTAGCGCTTTAACCTACAGTACAGTATGCTAAGGACTTAGCGCTTTAACCTACAGTACAGTATGCTAAGGACTTAGCGCTTTAACCTACAGTACAGTATGCTAAGGACTTTTCACCAGACTGAACCAATCCAAGCCAAACCGAACTGTACTGAGCTGGCCTGGTTATGCATTCACCATAGTTAATAATAATAACAATAATAAATATAATAATGTATTTTGTAATAGCGCTTTTCATTACAGAAAAGACTCTCAAGACACATAAAAAGCAAAACAAACAAACAACACATTTAAATTGAGATGGTAGAGATAGAGATTGAAACGTGCTAAAAAGGACCATTAGAAAGAAGGGTATCAGCTATTCAGCTAGCTCATGATCTCACCTTCTTTGCAGTACTTCCCCTTGTAGCGGGTGTGCGTGCAGTCACAGTGCACCTCGCCATACTGGATGGAGCAAAAACCTCCGTTGAGGCAGGGGTTCTGCTTGGTGCACAGGTACTCCATGTCACTCTGGATGCCCTGGCTGTTGAGCAGGGTGGGGGGTGTCTCTCCCACCTTCAGGTTGGAGATCAGGCCCAGGAACGGGGGCTCGTACTTCACCGTGCTGGAGGTGAGGGCTGAGAGGCGCACGTCGGGCGGGATGCCGCCCACAAACAGGTCGCTGACCACCGCCATCTCCTTCCGCTTTGACTTGACCTCCGCCATCTTGGTCTCGCCATCCACCATCAGCAGGGTCTCGCGGAAGTTGCGGGTGAGGAGCACCATGTGCCAGCGGTCGTCGTTGACCTGGGTTTCCATGTGTAAAGTGGCTGGCTCGGCACAGTGGATGGCGAAGCGCAGCTGGAGGCGCCCGCCAGCAATCAGGAGCTCCATGAAGTCACAGTTGCCGCCGTCATCTAGGTAGAGCACCAGAGCCTTGCTGATGTTGGTCTTGAGGCTGAAGCTCAGCTCGCCCACTGAGCCCGCCTCCCAACGCCCGTAGCGGGCCCACTGGCCGGGGGCCCCGCCCAACTCCAGCGCCCGGGCCGTCACCAGCAGACTGAGGAACACCAAGGGCCACATGGGCAAAGCGGGAAACCTCAACCCCCTCGTCATGGTTATGATCCCAATCCTAATAATCCTGCTATTGGTTCAAATCCTCCACACAGGGACGTAGCTCGGCCTAGCCTAGCTGCAGCTGTTGTTTTTTTTTTTTTTTTTTGTTAAGTGTAAACAATAGTTGTTAAGTCTGATTCTCGCTAGGGAGACTCCTCCTCTAGGCTGGGGGATACGTCGGAGGAGCAAAACACTCACAGGACCAATTCCAGATTCCAACCCTGCCGACTCAGCAGTTATTGTATTTTATTTGCTATATATATATCCTGACTCTCTTCTCCGTCTCTCCATTGGTTGATGCCTCTGGGAAAAACGAGGCCAGTGCACGGGTAGAGGGAATTACGATAATTTTATCACAGCGTTCCGTTCCCCAACTCAACTCCTTATTCCAAATAGAAATCCCAGTCCCTGGAATCCAGATATAGCTTTTTAGGAAACGTAAGTCATTGTTGTGGCAAGAGATACAGTCTGTCTCTGTGGGTGTGCTTTATAGATGTTGTTTTTGGGAAAGGGGGTAAGGAGGGGAGGAAGAGAGAGCGCTGAGTGTGTCAGAGCTGTCTGGTGTCACGTGGACAGCAGGGTATGTTCATGGCGCCAACGACGTTAACGCCTTCCTCTCCTGAAGCCTCTGGTTGGTCCACCACAGCTTAGACTGGTCTGGGTCCCCTCATTGTCCCCACAGTCAGGGATCTGGAAGAAACAGACAGAGAAACCTCATTAGACCCTGGTACTTTGTGTAATGGAGGTAGTCCTGTGAAACGCATGATGAGTAACCTTGTAAGTAAGTAAGTAAGTAAGTAAGACTGTGTTAGCCCTAGGATTTAGCTCATAGGGCTAATGTAGTCTTGTGGCATAAGGGAGATCATGGTTCGAATACAGTAGTAGTAGTAATAGCAATAATAATATATGGAAAAAAAAGCATTGAAATCGTAAATGGAGTTCCTTTGGGGATCTGCTTTGTAGACAACTTGACAGAATGTTCTATACATGCAATTCATTACTGGTGATTTTTCTGCTGGAAACCAAGACTAGAGTAAGAAATATGTAAATATGTCTGGTATGAAGTTCAACATTCATGTGCATGATTTCATCTGAGCCTACAGGGCTTGTATATCAACAGCCAATCAAAATGCCTCACTCCATCCGTGTTGATTTACTCAGAGCCTACTGGGCGTATATCAACAGCCAATCAAAATGCCTTACTCTATACTTGTCTGCCAAGTACAATTGGTCCTAAACACAGTGCACAAAGCTCCCTAGCATATAACGCCTAAGTCCATTACTTGCCACATGTACATATTACTTCAACTACCTCAACTAGCCGGTGCCCCTGCACATTGACTCTGCACCGGTACCCCCCTGTATATATAGCCTTCCTACTGTTATTTTATTTTACTTCTGCTCTTTTTTTCTCAACACTTTTGTTGTTTTATTTTACTTTTTTATAAAAATAAATAAATGCACTGTTGGTTAAGGGCTGTAAGTAAGCATTTCACTGTAATGTCTGCACCTGTTGTAGTCGGCGCATGTGGCCAATACAATTTGATTTGACTTTCAATAACTCAGCAATAAGGCTATCAATAAATCACCCTCCAACCGTTTTTATATGTCTCCACCTAACTGAACACATGCACGCACGCACGCACGCACACACACACACAAACACACACACACACACACCCACACACACACACACACACACACACACACACACACACACACACACACACACACACACACACACACACACACACACACAAGCCATCAAATTAAGTCTCATTTTCAGTGAGATGCCGTGGAGTCAATGGCTGCCAGGATAGCCACTCTTGACCCTTATCCCTGCCCTAATCCGTTCCCATTATTTCTGAAGTGAGATTTAATTTCCATTGCCGACAGTTCACAATTAAACCCCTGCTTGCACCTGATCACACTCGCTCAGGCTGCCGTGCTTGACTGCCTGACAGTTCAGAATGACAACCAATGACGACACTATCCATGTGCCAGAGAGAGAGAGAGAGAGAGAGAGAGAGAGAGAGAGAGAGATCCTGTAGAATGACAGTGACCGAAAAAGAGTAAGCGAGCATATGAAAGAGAGAGGGAGATTGGGGCAAACGTTTTTCGCGGTAATGTTCACATGCGGTGGTGAGGGAGCATGTCATGCCTTGAGGAGACAAGGAGAGGGAGAGGGAGAAAGATGGAGAAAGGGAGAGAGAAAGATAGAGAAAGGGAGAGAGAGAGCGAGAGAAAGGGAGAGAGAGAGAGATGGCTGATTTCTTTTGGTCATTGAAGGACGGGAGCGAACACTAGCTGCGTGTTTGCATTAGATCCTCTGCTCTCAAACATGTCCCCATAAATTAAACCCTGCATAATAACATCCATAGATCAAAGCATTATTGATTTATGGACAGTACAGTGCAGATTATGGAGCTGTGACGTCTAATAAGAACCTTGAAAGAGACACAGCTCAGGGCCTCTTAGGAAGGAGGAAGACGCATATCTGAAAATGCATATGGGCGATTCCACGCCAGCGGGAACAACATGCTCTACAAGTAAATCACATTTCCAGACTGGGCTCTCTGCTAATTCTGAGTTATGATACATTTTATGAAAATTGGAAATTGGATTTAAAGGGAACTCCCTCTGCTGGTGATTTATTGAATATGCAATCCTAAAGGAGGGCTGTGATTGGATAGAAACCTATAATGTCAATGTATAAAATGGGTCACATCATTAAATGTACCAGAGAACCCACTCTGGAAATGTTATGTGTTTGAAGAGTATATTGTTCCAAACAATATGTCTAAAAATAAGCAAAATAAAAAGGGTAGTTTTGAGATATTAATATTAATATTTTCTATATTGAATAAATGAATGTGAAAATGTGTATTTCAGAATAAAGACATACTCCATATGTTAGAGCACACTATTAGAAGTATAATGACACAAATGAGTTGTCTGTATCATGTACGATTCACAGATCATTGGGTATGTAGGCTTATAGGTCTAAAATGGGCCTAAAATGGACACTTTCATCATGATTTTCTCAAAATGTTTTGTGATACTAATACAAAGAGCATATCAAAAATATTTCCTCTCAATGAAGTTTCTATGTGAGAATTGCCAGAACACTGAGATACCAAAGATATTTTCTGCTCCCGCTGGCGTGTAATCACCTACAGTGCCTTAGGAAAGTATTCAGACCCCTTGACTTCATCCACATTTTGTTAGGTTACGGCCTTATTCTAAATTTGATTACATTGTTTTTTCCCCTCATCAATCTACACACAATACCCCATAATGACAAAGCAAAAACAGGTTTTTAGAAATGTTTGCAAATGTTTAAAAAATAAAAAATAAAAAACAGAAAAATAACATTTACATAAGTATTCAGACCCTTTACTCATTACTTTGTTGAAACACCTTTGGCAGCGATTACACCTCAAGTCTTCTTGGGTATGACGCTACAAGGTTGGCACACCTGTATTTGGGTAGTTCTGTCAGGTTGGATGTGGAGCATTGCTGCACAGCTATTTTCAGGTCTCTCCAGAGATGTTCGATCAGGTTTAAGTCCGGGCTCTGGCTGGGCCACTCAAGGATATTCAGAGACTTGTCCCGAAGCCACTCCTGCGTTGTCTTGGCTGTGTGCTTAGGGTCGTTGTCCTGTTGGAAGGTGAACCTTCGCCCCAGTCTGAGGTCCTGCGCGCTCTGGAGCAGGTTTTCATCAAGGATCTCTCTGTACTTTGCTCCGCTCATCTTTGCCTCGATCTTGACTAGTCTCCCAGTCCCTGCCGCTTAAAAACATACCCACAGCATGACTCTGCCACCACCATGCTTCACCATAGGGATGGTGCCAGGTTTCCTCCAGACGTGACGCTTGGCATTCAGGCCAAAGAGTTCAATCTTGGTTTCATCAGACCAGAGAATCTTGTTTCTCCTGGTCTGAGAGTCTTTAGGGGCCTTTTGGTAAACTCCAAGCGGGCTGTCATGTGCCTTTTACTGAGGAGTGGCTTCCATCTGGTCACTCTACCATAAAGGCCTGATTGGTGGATTGCTGCAGAGATGGTTGTCCTTCTGGAAGGTTCTCCCATTTCCACAGAGGAACTCTAGAGCTCTGTCAGAGTGACCATCGGGTTCTTGGTCACCTCCCTGACCAAGGCCCTTCTCCCCCGATTGCTCAGTTTTGGCCAGGCGACCAGTTCTAGGAAGAATCTTGGTGGTTCCAAACTTCTTCCAATTAAGAATGATGGAGGCCGCTGTGTTCTTGGGGACCTTCAATGCTGCAGAAATGTTTTGGTACCCTTCCCAGATCTGTGCATCGACCGAATCCTGTCTCGGAGCTCTACAGACAATTCCTTCGACATCATGGTTTGGTTTTTGCTCTGACGTGCATTGTCAACTCTGGGACCTTATTTGGACAGGTGTGTGCCTTTCCAAATCATGTCCAATTAATTGAATTTACAACAGGTGGAGTCCAATCAAGTTGTAGAAACATCTCAAGGATGATCAATGTAAACAGGATGCACCTGAGCTCAATTTCGAGTCTCATAGAAAAGGTTCTGAATACTTATGTAAATAAGGTTTTTTATTTTTTTATTTTTAATACATTTGTAAAAATGTCTAAAAACCTGTTTTCGCTTTGTCATTATGAGGTATGTGGAAAAAGTCAAGGGGTCTGTATACTTTCCAAAGTCACAGTATATCTATTTAGGGTAAATGTTATTATCACTGGTAGAATCTGATCTGAAAAATGAAAACACGTTGCTATGGCACACTGTATACTTAGGGAATCAGCTGACATTACAAGCCATTGTGATTAGTTTGATGCAATTGCAATTACAAGAAGAAGAAAAAAATGTGTTTATATAATTGAATTCTTTTTTTTTTTTTTTTTACTGAAGTGTTATACTGTATCCGTGTCCCAGATGGGTAACTAGAATTTGAATATTATCCTAGAATTCTTTGTCTGGCATTTAGCAAAGAGGGAGCATCTCCTACTGCTT